TTTTTTATTGTGAAAATACTGTACAGAGGGGTTACAATCACATGAGCAAGGTAATGAGTACATTTCTTTTTTTTCTTTTTTTAAATAAGTTTTTTTTATTGTGAAAATACTGTACAGAGGAGTTACAATCACATGAGCAAGGTAATGAGTACATTTTTTATCAAGCATTGTTGCCTCCTCCAATTGGCAGAGCACTAGCCTTAAGCAAAAAAGCTAAGAAACAGCACTCAGGCCCTGACTTCAAGCCCCAGGACAACAGATACACAGATACACACACACACACACACACACACACACACACTTAGTGTTCCTCCAAATAGCAGAATGAAAATAAATGGTTTTCTCAGTCAGCAAGAAGTATGGCAATCTTAAGTATATTTTCAATGGAGTGAAAAGAACCAGGTTTAGTTGCTGGATTTTTTTCTTCCAGAAAAGAGAGAGAGAAAGGCAAGACATTTTATTATCTGATTTCAGATCTGCATTTAGGACATATTATAAGAGAAGACTAAATAAGAGTTGATGCTACATGATAGTATAAGACCTATGATCTTTGTTTTTTCTTTTTCTTTTTGGTATGTGTGTGGGTCCTGAGGCTTGAACTCAGAGCCTGGATGTTGTCCCTGAGCTTCTTTTGCTCAAAGTTAGTGTTCTTGAGCACTTGAGCCATAACACTATTCCCAGCTTTTTCTGAGTTGTTTGCTGCAGATTAAGAGTCTCAGGTCTTTTCCTGCCCAGGTTGGCTTTAAACTGTGATCCTCATATCTCAGCCTCCTGAATAGCTAGGACTACAAGTATAAGCCACCAGTATCTGGCAAGTCCTGCTTTTTGGTTTGTTTGTTTGGTTGGTTGGTTTTGTCGGTCATGGAACCTGAACTCTGGGCCTGGGTGCTGTCCCTCAGCAATTCAGCTCAAGGTTAGAGTTCTACCATTTGAGCCACAGCACTACTTCCTGCTTTTTCTGCTTATGTGATGCTGAGGAATCGAACCCAGGGCCTCATGCATGCAAGGCAAGCACTCTACCACTGAGCCACCTTCCCAGCCCCAAGTCCTATTATCTTAAAGTAACAGAAAATGAATAATTGTTCATAACAAGTCACATAGTTAAATCAAAGTATCAGCACCCAAATTTTGTTCAAAAGAACAAAATTATGCAAAAGCTTTTTTAAAATATTGTTTCTGAATGTGAGTACACTAATGTGTATATACTAATATGTCCATATGTAAATCCACATTTACACAAACATGAACATATGCATGTATGTGTGAACATCTAGACTATATATAAAATACATGCAGCCAAAAACATGTCACTATGAACTGTGTAAATATGCACACATATGCTTACATAGTATATATGAGCTGAGATAGAGACAGAGAAACCACATGGTGCTTTGTCTAAACCAATCACATAAACCAAACCCCAAGATAAGGACTCAAATGTTTTTTCTTTCTTGCTATTGCGTCTAACATATTTCTAAGATATTTCTTTGTTGCTTTGTATGTCCCTCCCCCAAGTATAACCCCTGTTTTCACTGTATTTGATGTTGGTATATATTTGTTGTAGAGGGGAAGGGAAAAACAAACCGTTTAAATAGGGATACAGGTGAACCCATTGCAACAATGAGATGTACAAGACATTATGTCGAAAAACAAACTTTACAACTTTGACGCGCAGTGAGGGGTGAGGTGGAGGGGGAGATGGGAAGGGATGGGAAGGGAAAACAAAGGAGGAAGCAACAATGCTTGATAAGAAATGCACTCATTACCTTGCCCAAGTAATTGTAACTCCTTTGTACAGTATTTTCACACACAAAAAAAAAAACAAACCAAACCAGTGCATCCATTCTTCTGCCCTGGAGAGATCAGACAAATGCAGTATGTCCTGAGCGTAATACTCCAGCCATCTCCAGCAGGCATGATACCAAGATGGCATCTCAAACACAAACATACTTTTGTGGTAGATAACTGTTTTTTTAGGCTCCGAACAACTGTGGCCACATTCTGATAGAGGAAACTGTGGCCTGTTTGCCAGTTATTTTTCCAGAGTAGGAAAATCCCCACCCTGAGGTTGAATTCCTAAAGGAAAAGCCCTCTTCCTCATTACCAGAGGGCGGTAGTATTCATGGTCTTGGCTCTGATGGCCATCCATTACCACAGGGCGGTAGTATTCATGGTCTCAGCTCTCATGGCCATCCATTACCACAGGGCGGTAGTATTCACGGTCTCGGCTCTAATGGTCATCTGATGTGGTGAAAAACCTCGATGTCATTTTGTAGGATATGGGGATTGAGTATGCATGCATATGCATATGGATACATGTGTGTGTGTGTTCCCGTTCTATTGAATGCACTTGCAAAAATCCAGCCAAATTTAACCCACTCAACCTGTCAAAACAACTGTGGCTTCTTCCTGCTCTTCTTCGTTTAGGATAGGATCACCCATCCTCCTACTTGGCAGTCATTTATGAGCCGCCACCACCGTTAGCCCTGTCCAGTGCTGTGCCTGAGACTGTGGATACGAAGATTCTGCTCCCTTTGTTTATTTCAACCCAAAACATTCTAGGAAGTCTTTGGGATCCACATACTCACAGATTCCTGCCCTGGAAAGGCTTACTGTCACATTTCTTTGCCTTTTCCAAAAGCTGATTCTTAACATTCATCTGCTATTTACACAAGGTCTAATCTTTGGATATGAGTGCTTTGCCTTACTTGGAGCCAAAACCAAAGCACACAGGCAGCTCTTGAATCCTCGTGCACAACAGAGCTGCCCATCTTCTGTCATGTCAATGGGCATGCAGAGTCACCTGTGTTATGTTTGCCTAAATATGGTTATCTAGCAAGAAAAGTATGCATTTCTGCCTATCAGGTGCTCTTGTTCCCAAGACATAGGAACAAATATAGTGGAAGAGACAAATGTAGCAAAAAAGTGGAGGTAGCTGAAAGTGTTTCCATTCTGATATAATTTATCACTGTAGTTTTAAACAAATGGTGGGTGTAGAAGCTTTGGCATCAAGGAACAGAGGCATGGCTTGAGCATCACATTGTGGTCCTAGCTAGCAGGAAGTCCTGAGTTCAGGAAAGAAAGAAAGAAGGAGGGAGGGCGGGAGGGAAGGAAAGAAAGAAAGAAAATGAGAGAAAGAAAGAAAGAAAAGAAAGGAAGGAAGGAAGGAAAGGAAGGAAGGAAAGAAAGAAAGGAAAGAAAGAAAGAGAAAGAAAGAGAACGAAGGAAAAGAAAGAAGGAAAAGGAAGGAAGGAAGAGAAGGAAGAAAGGAGGGGGGAGGAAGGGAGGGAAGAAGGAAGGAAGAGAAGGGAATGTGAAGGAAAGAGAGTAAAGGGGAAGGAAAGAGATGGAGGAAGGGAAGGAGGAAGAGAGAAAAAACAAAAAAGAAAGAAGGGAAAGAAGAAAGGAAGGAGGGGAGGGAAAAGGAAAGGAAGAAAAGAAGGGAAAGGAAAGAAAAGAATGGAGAGAAAAAAGAGAGGTGAAGGGAAGGAAAAGAAAAGACACTAAAGGAAAAAAATCTTTAGCATCCAACTTTAAAGATGTAAGACTTTAAACATTTTATTCATGAGCCACAGTTAGCCACGCTGTAGATCTTCTCTTAATGTGTTTTCTATTTCCTCTAGTAGAGAGCTCTTGGATGACCCGTGTCAGACTTACTTGAACATTAGCATACACATCTTTTTAAAGCTATTGTTACAACATGATTCTGTAAAACCTAAGATACCCCACTTACAGTGTTGATCTTAAAACGGTTTGAGTCCATTTTTAAACAGAAACACTGACAAGAATAATATGTCTTTGGTTAAGCTGGCCCAGCAGACATGAAAGCAAGGATTACTAAACAAGTCTGTTTAAGAAAGGATCCTGAATGCTGGGCACCGATGGCTCACGCCTGTAATCCTAGCTACTCAGGAGGCTGAGATCTGAGGAAAGCGGTTCCAAAAAGAAAAAAAAAAACAACAACAACAATTGATCCTGAGGAATAGTGGCAATCTAGGAGGGCATGGAAAGGAAGGATATGATAAATATTATGATCAATCTGCCTGCGCCCGTTGGCAGCTTTCTAATAAGACACTTCCTACTTTCTTGTTAGGAGCCCAAGTAAATCACTTCAAAGGAATTTTAGTATAGAGAAAGTTCTATGCATGCTATTATTATTACTATTACTATTAGTTATGATTAATAGAAATATATCTATTATTTCATGTACTATTGATAGCTTTTTAACAATAGTCTACTCAGGATCCAATCAAAATTACTGTGTCAGAATGACACCTGGCATGTTTGCTCCAGTAGTAAGGATCCTTGCTTCATTGGATTGCTGCCCACAAGAGAGTAGTAAGAGAATGAGTGCAATGACAATGGTAATGTGTACCATGTACTTGGTACATATTGCGTACGTAGTAAAAAGCATTATGCTTTTCCTGTTTCCTCAGGATGTGCACTTGGAGTCTAGATGATGGGGACAGTGAAGTTCTGATGAGTTTCTTGAGCATTTCTAACACATTTGCCTTCCTGAATGGTGAAGGGCTTCATTCATATATCCTATAGACTTAGCTGTATAGGTTATATTCTTCCCAAAATGTCCTAAGAAAGATGTACTTTGCTCTTCTTATTTTTTTCCTTTGCTGTCTATACAATTGATAACTGTATGGGTTGAGTATCCTTTATCCAAAATGCTTCAGACCAGAGTGGTTAGAATTCTGGTCAGGTTCTTGAACATTGACACACAGATCTTGAGGTGTTGGGGATAGGACTCAAATATGAACACAAAACTCACTTTGTATAGACTCCTTATGCACATAGCCCAAAAATGGTTTTATAAACTATTTTAAATAATTCCGTACCTGGAGTTTTCCACGTCTGTGTTATGACAATGCTTATACTTGGATTTTGGAGCATTTCAGATTTTAGATTTGGGGATGGATAGGGATTGTGTAGATCATCTTTACAAAAATTGTGCATGGATTTTGTGATTTGTTTTGTCTTTGTTGTTTTAGATTTACTTGTGGGTGCATTTGGAACAGGAAAAGTTGCTGTTTACAGGTATGTGGTTGGTAGGGTGCAAACTGGTGGAGTGCAGACATTCTTCTATCAGTTTTAAATGCCTTTACTTCTTGTTGCTCAGTTTACCTTAGAGACCACATTCCCACTACTTATTCTTTTTTGTTTTGTTTTATTTTGGGTCCGGTCGTGGGCCTGAACTCTGAGCCTGGGTGATGCCCCTCAGCTCTTCAGCTCAAGGCTAGCACTCTACCACTTGAGCCACAGCGCCACTTCTGGCTCTTTTTTTTTTTTGCTTATGTGTGCTGAGGAATCGAACCCAGGGCCTCAAGCATGCAAGGCAAGCGCTTTACCACTGAGCTACCTTCCCAGCCCCCACTACTTATTCTGAAAGCATTTGTATATCCCTTTCAAAGTCCAACCTTTCTGTCATTCCTCTGTATTTTTACTCTTAAAACATTATGAGTTTAAGGGTAGTAGGGGGAAAATAGGGGAAAGCAAAAAAAAGGATGACATTGTATTCATTTCCTGACTTACGGAATTAAAGCCCCTTTGTGCAACTTCTTAATAATAACAGTTAAAAAGCAACAACTTCATGGGCTAACATTTAATACCCCTTGTGTAATATTAAATATGACATAAAGTTCAGAAAATCATAAAAGGACTTTTTTTGGATGCTACTGTATTTGTATTCTTTGTGCTTTGGGGTTGATTTAGACATGCAATGTGGGAGAAGGTTACGATTTACCCTGGCTTCTATGACCTAGTATGTAGAAGTGGGAAAATTGCCAAAGGATAGAGGAACCCCAACTTTGCCAGGAAGTCAGGTAAGAGCATGAGGCCCTGAGTTCCAGCCCCAGTACTGGCACAAAAACAAAAAATAAAAATATGGTCAAGTACGGATGCTAAGTGAGGGAACGGAATATTACCAGGACTTGGCAAACTCGGAAAGTGAATATGGAAGAGCAATTCAAATGCAATTAGACATGGATTCAAAGCCTGGCCATTCCATTCATTTGTAATCACTGGCCCTGAGGCCCACCACTCAGAAACCTATGGCTCCAGCTACTCCACTCAGAATTCACCACGGCCTGCACCAATGTTTATTTTCCCTAAGCTACAGCCAGCCCGTGGCTGAGCACCCCAACATAAACGCAAGGCTATATCTGTAGGTCATGAAACTCCTGATCTAGACAACTCTAGCTGGAGCACATCCCATGGCCTAGGCCAGAACTTTCTTATCCAATTCCCTCTCCTTTGCTCCACCCTTCCACAGCTCAGAACTCCCAGCCTTCTGCACTCCCCTTTTTCCCCATAAGTCTGTGCCAGGATAAATCTCTTGCATGCCTAATCCTATTGTATCGCCTGCTGTTCCAGCAAACTGAAACACAATATTGAAAATAATATAATACAGAACAGATAAATAAGTAAAAAGGAGTTTAGGAAAAATCCCAGTGGGCTCCATGTGGTAATCATGAAAATGTTTGAAGTAGTGCCCTAAACAACACTGTGCCCCAAAACACAGCTCTCCCTTCTGTCAGCCAGAGGAACACATTTCCAACATGGCATTTCTAAGGACAAGAATCTAGAGACTTTGGTTCCCAGTTGTATCTTATAGTCCAGCTCTAACAATGCTTCCATTCTTTTTCTCCCATGGTTTAGTCTCTCGCTTTGTCAACTTTGCCTGGTTGGCTAGAATGGCCTTTAGTCTCTATCAGTGTCTCACCTCAAACATAGCTCCAACTAGAATCATCCCAACTAGAATGTGTTTAAAATTTGAGCCAGGCCTCATGCCTGTACTCCTAGCTGCTCAGAAGGCTAAGATTTAAGGTACACAATTTGAAGCCAGCCCAGGGGACAAAAAGCCCATGAGATTCTTATTTCCAATTCATCATTAAAAAGCTGGAAGTAGCGCTATGGTTCAAGTGGTAGAATACCAGCCTTAAGCAAAAAAGTTAAAGGACAGCACTCAGGCCCTGAGTTCAAGCTCCACTCCCAGTGCCAATAAACAAACAAACAAATAAATAAATCCTAACATCTAGCTCTTACTAGAGTTTCTAGATCGGTTGGTCCGTGGTGGGGTCTGGACATGGTATTTTTTCTTTTGAAAGCTCCTTCCTCTAGTAATTATCTTATACAGTCAGGATTGAAAACCACAGTGCTGGGTGAAGTATAGAATTACTCTGTCAATCCATTCTCATGTGGTTAGCTAAATGCGCAAAATTTGGCTAAAAAGAAAACATTCATCGTCGTGATTATGGTCATTCTCAACAAGCCAACAAAAAAAAGCTGTAAAATTCAAGCACTTACTGTGAGTGGCTAGAGAATGAATATTTTCCTTCAAGCATGGTGACAGACATTCTTACACACTGTAGATTAGTGTTGTGCAGCAATATGGTCAAGATAGCGTGAGTCCTCTCCATGAAGAAAGCAGGCTGTGGATATGTTTGTGTCTGATGGACACATAGCATCCTTCCCTGGGACTCACCTGCAGTGCTATGTGCTTTAGGGGGGTTACTTGAGGGTGGCACCCATTTGTTCATGCAGTAAGCAGAATTCTTGGCACAGGCCAGGGGATGTTGGCTGTGGAAATGGAGTTCCTCCTTCTGTGGTGTGAGCTTGTGTCCATGGCTCATGGGATGTATTCAGACTCCGTGTTTTCTCTTGCAGAGCCAGACCTGTGGTGACTGTAGATGCCCAACTTCTGCTGAGCCCAATGATTATCAATCTTGAAAATAAAACTTGCCAGATTCCTGAGGTGTTGACGCCTGTGGCCTGGTAAGTTAGCTCCTTGCTTCCCAAACTAATGTGGATTCGAATCACCTAGGGATCTTACCCCCAGAATGCATTGTTGGTGCAGTAAGTCTAGGGTAGGGTGTGAGATGTTGCATATCTAGGAAAGGCTTCAAGGGGTCCTGGTCGGTAAAGCAAGTTTGAGTAGCTAGGATTAGGAATTATGATTTCATGGTATTCTCTGCCTTATGGGGTTATCATGAAGAGGCTGGCTCTTCAATCTACATAGTGAGATGAAAAGCATAGGAAAATGCTTGGGGAAATTCCCAGGGAATCAAATCTTAATGATCTCTTTCTTTCTTTTATTTTCTTAATTAAAAAAATCTTTTCAAACAGATGAGTTACCATTGGGTAATGAGTACATTTCCTTTTGGACAATGTCCCCCCTCCCTTTGCTCTCTCTGTTTTCCCCTTGTATCCCCACCCACAAGTTGTACAGTTCATTTTTCAATGTAGTATCCAGTGAGTACATATATTACAATAAATGTTGATCAAACCTTGACTCTCCCTCACCTATACATTGGGTACTCTCACTTTTCAGACATATAATACGCCCCTCATTTTTTTTTTAAATAAAACACGCTTGAGTTAAATTATTCCATCTTTTATGCTGACAATAGATGCAGTTTTAGCATTTAACAAATACAATCAGACCAAAGGTGAATAGTATAAAACTAGAGATTTTTTTTTGTTCCCTGTATTTTTTGTGGCCAGGATCTCACAGCAATGGAAATCACTGGACCTAGCCAGGAGCCAGTGGCTCATGCCTGTAATCCTAGCTACTCAGGAGGCCGAGATCTGACAATCATGGTTTGAAGCCAGTTCAGTCAGGAAAGTCCCTGTGAGACTTCTTTTTCCCCAGAAGTGGCACTGTGGCTCAAAGTGGTAAGGTGCTATTCTTAAGCAAAAGATCTCAGGGATACTGCCCAGGCCCTGAGTTCAAGCCCACCACAGACAAAAAAAAAAAAGAAAGAAAGAAAGAAATTACTGGACCTTTGCCTGGACCACAGGAGAACATGGCTTATCTATCTTCTAGGAATGTACCCTCTGAGTTATAGCAGTCTCTTGAATAGACACACTGGAGTTTGAGTCTAACATAGCCTGAAAAACTTCCACCTTATTTTTCACTGTGTATGTCCCACAAGAGTCAGAAGCCATTATGATTTCTCCATGTCATCAAGGCCTATCCTCTGGAAATCCGGCAAAGCCCTGTGATGGTTAGGATGTGCTCTCTTTTTCCAGGATTTCTAAGCTTAATTCAGGCAATGTGTTGACTAAGATAAAGCCAACATGTACAACAGAACCAGCCTAGACCAAAAGAAGTTATTTCCAGCGTATGTTAGTGTGTTGCTGATGGCCCTTTGACAAGAGTTCACAGGAAGTCTACATTTGGGAGGGTAGAGGTGGTTAATGCCAGGCCCCTCAAGAATTCTTTGTAAAACATCCTGTTGTGGGGAACTTCCAGTAGGGGAAGGGGTACCTTCTCCTTGAACTGTTTTTGAAACTACTTAGGAAGTGCCCTGAGCACAGTTTAAAATGGTTTAAAACCATAAAAGAGTATAATGAAAACCTGACCTGGGAAAATACGTGAAAGAGCCAGCATTTCTCCTTACGCTGGCACAAGTAAATGAACACGAAATGAGCTGTGAGTGCTACTTGAGCATGAATATTAAAACTTTACTACACCCCTCAAGTAAAGCTCTGTTCACACCTTCAAAACGCCCTGGTTTTCTGGACTGAATTCTTTTAAGCACTGGTGGCACATTCTGGTTTAGAATGTGTTTGTTTTGAACTGGAGAGATTTTTCTAAGGATTTCTAGATGGATTATTTTTATAAGCCTAAAATACTTTCAGAAAAGACAAAAGGAGCCAAGCATGGTGGTGCAGGCCTGTAATCCCAGCTACTCAGGAGGTAGAGACAGAAGACTATCTGAAGCCCAGCCCAGACAAAATTAGCCTAAGACCTTATGAGTACAGTAACTAAAGAAAATAAAATGATAGGAAGGGGGATAATGCAAGTGTGAGGACCTGAGTTGAATTCCTACTACCATAGAAAAAGGAGAAAGAAAACAAATTAACATGGGCCTTATTTAACTTCGTAAAAAATGGTTTGAATGAGAAAGTGTCTCTTATCATGAGCCATTTTTTGTTATATCAAATCTTAAGATAAAATGAAATTTGTTAATGCGTAGAAAATAAACTACCTTCCTTTACAATTGTTTCTTTAATTCTATTACATATCTTTCCTACAACACATTGTATTTCAATATGCAAAAGCTTTAAATGTTGCCTCAAAGTATTACAAGATAGAAAAATGCAGGCCCTGGGGCTCATGTTTATAATCCTATTATAAACAATCCTATTTAGGAGGTTGAGATCTGGAGGATGGTGACTCAAAGCCAGGCAGGGCAGAAGAGTCTCCCCCTCCCAAATAACCAGCAAAAAACTAGGATTAAAGGTATGGCTCAAGTGGTAAAGAGCCAACCTTGCTCTGACAGCTACTATGCAATTTTTGAGGTATTTCTTCTTAGATTAGGATAGAGTTCTCGAAAAATCTAAGAGTTAACAAAGTCTTTTCCACTTTAAGCCAGAAGATTTTGGTTGTAGGACTATTAACAATTGTTCAATAAGTTCTAGCCTTTATATTAAACTTGTAGGAAAAAGATAAAGTCACTCAATGATTGATGATATTGACTTAACAGAAGGGAGAAGTAAAAATCATTGATGTATAACGACATACAACTCATAAACCAAGAGTAACCCTTTAGCTGACATTTCTCAAGTACTTTTTTACAAAGAGAAAACGTTTGCTTTTATTCCTTTTCCAAGAACTGTATTCCTTTTTTTGTTTGTGTCAGATAAATTGCTGTATATTTTGACAATTTCATTATCAATAGGAATTTGTCTTATAAAAGCTAATGAGCTTTGTCTATGCTGAGTAATGACTTCAGCACATATCAAACACTTCCCAAACATAAAGTATGCAAAAAAAAAATCCAATTTGGGAAGGCAGCCCCACTACAAAATTTAAAGATGTGATTAACCACTCATCTTCCTTGAGTAATTCTAATTGAAGCAGAAGGGGTTGGAATTTGCCATTTCTCTGGAGACGTGATGTAAACACTTGTTATAGAGTAGACATCTCAGGAAACATTCAGTTTAATGGTGTATGGCAAATAATTTACCCTGAAGGGAGAGATATTGACTGAGGTCACAGAACTAGATGAATCCCAGATGTCCCAGGTTTCCATGATGTTTGACACAGGAAGCTGACATATAATTAAAGTACGACTAGGGTTTATTTGCTCCTTTGGAATTCCAGAGAAATATGTAAATCGCACTATAGCATCTTATTAGTAAACACTTTAAGAGTGCCACTAAATCATAGGAAGTATCTTCTTGCATTTTCACTTTTTTAGATACGTGCATAGGGCCACATCCTCAGAGATGATGGCCGTTAATGTTTTTCTGAAGGAAGGGTGAGAGTACTCAGCAAAGTCTGACAGAAATGAATGGACATTTCTCTCTGCCACTGTGGCCACAGACCAAGGCCGGCGGCAGGCCATGATAAAACCAGTACAGACACTTCGATGGGTATTGGCAACTCTACTAAGTGCCTTTCCTCCACATCAAACCTCTCTCATCATTGTGTTTTTACCTTGTGCTTACCTACATGAAGACAGTTACTCTGGGCTCCTTAGCTCCTTTCTTTCCCTCATCCCTCTTCTTTCTGATTCTGCTCTTATCCCTGCCACTAAGTTCTAGTCGCTTCCAAGCTGAGTGGGTGATTTGAGCTAAGCATGACCTGTTGTTCTATGCTGCTTAGGCTTAAATCCACATTTTTCAGCCTGCCTTTGCCACCAGCCAACCACGATAGCTGTGCTTCCCATCCGGCTGGAAGCTCTAATCTATAAATCCCTCTGAGCAGCTATGTTCTTGCTAATCACCAGCTTTCCCCACACTGTGCCCACACTGACTGCCAATAGTTTTATTCTATGACATATGGAAGTGTTCATATGTATTTGTTCAATAAAGGCAGCAGGGCATAAATTGCTGCAATGATTGAATCAGTTTATTTCTAATCATAGTTTCAAGTATTACCTCCCCATGCAATACTATTTGTTATGATTGTATTTGTATTGTGATGAAACTGGTATGTGAATGTGTGTGTGTATGTGTGTGTGTGTATATATATATATATATATATATACATATATATATATGTACATGTGTGTATGTAATGAGAAGTATAGGTAGAAAGACTTGATCTGAGGTGGAATTTCAACTTCTGATTCAAAACTTTACTAACCCAGCATACTATTGACTTTTGTTTTTCTACAGCTTATCTCTAAAAGTCTGTGCATCTGTCACAGGTCAGAGCCTTTCCAACACAATAGGTAAGCAAGTGTGTTTTCATTTTTGCACTTCTGTGCTAAGAAATCATAACAGTAAGTGTAACAGTAAGTGTGGCTCTTCACAGACCAGAGCAAACAAAAGAGCTCTTCCTCAACATATAGATTCCATCACATTCATAGAACACTCTGCATAAAGATGTTTCCAGAATCAAGACTGATATTACACACAGTGATGGGAGACAATAACTTGGAAAGTATTTTGTGATGTTCCTTCAGTTTTATGTATTATGTTTGATTCTCAGAATAGAAGACATGCCCGATGAAATAAGCATTCTTATCTGAACACAGCACCAATGGGGCTCATCTGTAATCCTAGCTACTCAGGAGGCTGAGATCTGAGAATCATGGTTCAAAGCTAGCCTGGGCAAGAAAGAACATAGACTCTTATCTTCAATTAATCTTCAGAAAGCTAGAGATGGAGCTGTGGCTCAAGTGGTAGAGCACTAGAAGTGAGCAAAAGGCTCAGGACAGTGCCTATGCCCTGAGTTCAAGCCCCAGAACCACCAGCATACACACACACACACACACACACACACACACACACACACAATTCCCATCCATACAGAGCAGCAAGTTTGGTTTACTGAGTACTTTTATTCTCTTTACTTCTTTCCTTCAGCCCTGACAGCTGAGGTGCAGTTGGACTCCCTGAAGCAAAAAGGAGCCATTAAGCGCACACTCTTCCACAACAACCATCAGCCCCATCTCATCTTCCCTCTTGTGATAAAAGGGCAGAGATCCCTCCACTGCCAGGATTTCACTGTTTACCTTCGAGTAAGTGTTTGACAAACCATTTTCGAGGCTCCTAACATTTAAACCCAAATTCCAGCCATCCTTCTCCACGTAGCCATCATACAGGTCTACAGAGATCCTCATCTGTCTATTTTCATTTTCCTGGGAGGAAACTTCATTTGAAGGTTGAATGCTTTCTTCTTGACCCTTACTTGAACTAACCTAATGATCTACTGCTATTCATTTCTAAGACTTCTTGTCATTTGGGACCAAAAATCTGGGTAATAGCTTTCAACTCAGGTGGTTTTCATTTCTAACTGCCTCCTCCCCAAAAGAAACATAAAAGCTCGAGCCCATTTATTGGAATTTTTATCCTATGTGGATTATATCACATAGATTTTTATCAGCATTCGTTGCATGCAGAGCCAATTCAGGAAAACACTTAGTATGCAAAACTTTTATTGCAAGCAACTTGTAATTTATGCTTCTTAAAAGTAATGTGTTTGGGGGCTGGGCACTGTGGCACATGCCTATAGTTTGGGAAGGTTGAAATTCAAGGGCAGTCTGGGCAAAAAATCAGCAAGACCCCTATTCCATCAAACCAGCCTCATGTCTGTAATGTCAGTTCATGTCTGTAATCCCAGCGACCTATGAGGCATAGGTAGGGGAACAAGATGCTACCTGAAAAGTAACCTACAACAACCTGGCTCAAGTGGTACAGCTCTTGCCTAACAAATATAAAGCCATGAATTTAAAGTTTACTTGCAACAAATAATAATAATATAGATCTAAATAATAATAATAATAATAAGGCTCCAAAACTTACCATGCTATTTCAAATGTCAAAATACTTTTTACACAAGTATACAGCTATCTATCTTTACCTGGCTAGTTGTTAGACTCATCTCCATTTCTTCTCTTTCTCTAAAGGGACTTAGTTAACAAGAGGATCTCAGTCAATACTAAAAGTTCACAAGCAAACTTGAGGATAAGATGTTTGTGTGTACAGTCTTTATCCTGGCCCTTACAAGTATGCGCTAAAGGATGATGTGCTGTTGCACGCTTGTGTGTGCTGCTTGCTGATTCTCCCTTGCTCTTGGAGCAACTTCCATTTCCTTTTTGCTAAAGAACTTCAAATATGCTAACGGTGTTAGGGGGAAGAGAATTAAGATGTTTCCCCAGACCTAATAGAACTTATAAACTCTGGTAACCCTACAAAAAAAAGTCCTGATTCACAGTGCTTCCCCTGGTGTTTATGGGAGAGAGGTGTGATCTTTGACCTGAAGATGTGAGTGATTTTAGGTGCCTTGTCGATGGTCTGGAATGGCTGATGATTACCTCCACACACATCTTTCTGACTCTATGGCTTTTACTGACTTCACGTACATTACACTGGTAATACCACATCAATCAGCCTGTGGCTCAACCTGCTGCAGGAATTGCCTCCTCATTCATTTTCATTGGCTATAGTCAAGGGTTTACTGTCTTTTGCAAGCTAACATCTTAACAGCTATTGGATAGAGCTGTTCTTGAGTTGATGCTTATTTTTCCTAGGATGAAACTGAATTCCGAGATAAATTATCCCCAATCAACATCAGTTTGAATTATAGTTTGGATGAATCAACCTTTAAAGAAGGTTTGGAAGTGAAACCAATACTGAACCACTACAGAGACAATGCTGTGACTGAACAGGTATGGTCTCCATATACACGTGCGTTCTCAGCCAAGCTCTAGGACTTAAAAGACAAAGCCAGCCCAAAGTCAAATTGCAAGTGGGTCATGACTATTATCCTAACTGTTCAGAAGGCTGAGATCTGAAGATTACCAACCCATACAGGAAAGTGTGTGAGACTTTTATCTCCAATTAACATGAAAAAAGCTGGAAGTGGAACTGTGGCTTAAGTGGTAGAGCTCTAGCCTTGAGGGAAAACGCTCCAGAACAGAGCCCAAGTCCTGAGTTCAAGCTCCAGTATCAGTCAATATACAGTATGTATATGCACACACACACACACACACACACACACACACACACACACACACACACTCCAGCTCTTTTTTTTTTATTCTTGAATGCAGACAATGAATCATTTGGGAGCATTCGTTAACAGGTCTTTAAAACAGTGCATCACTGTGAGTTCAGAAGCCTTTCCTTGAGTATCCAAGATTTAATTAGTTCAAAATGTAGCTGTGATGGAAGCAATACAGCCTTTAATGCTCAAACCAGATAGCATTCATCACAGTCATTTCAGGACAAATTGGGATTAGGCTGTAGTGTAAACTAGTCTTTATCAAGAGTTCACCCAGCTGGGGTAGAACTAGCTAGAATCTTGTCCAGGGCATGAAAGCTTTGGATCAATTCATGGAATCATTGGGGAATTTCAGAGATAGGATGGATGTAACTTGGGTTTTCCCCGGTTTTTCCTGATACCATTTGCTCAACACAGGCTCACATCCTGGTGGACTGCGGAGAAGACAATTTGTGTGTTCCTGATCTGAAGCTAGCGGCTAGACCGTGAGTTTAAATAAATAAATGTGTGCATGGTACCTAATGGGATACAGGTGTTTGTTTCAAGGTTTTCTGGAGAAGGTGTAGATCTCCAGTATTTCCAGATTTCCAGATTTTCCAGGGTTTGGGAGGTGGGGATGCTGTGTGAATTTGGCTACACTTTGGGTCAGCCAGAGATGGAATCAATTCTGTGTCACTGGTGTTAAGTAGTATTCCCTGTTGGGCCATTTCATCTTTCTGCTATCGTGAGGTGGGGGGAATGGTGATTTTGTTGAAAATAAACTCAGGGATGGCTCAGGTTAAATTCACTCATCTCTGCAAAGTGAACAAGAGATTCAGACAGACAAGCTCCATCAGCACCTTAACCAAACTGGTTTTTTACAGCACCCCCAATGACTTTGAGGCATCTTTAAAACTGTCCAAACAAAATTAATTTAAGTTTACTGGCAAAGAAAGAAGGGAAAAAAAACTTAAAAGACACACTAGGGAGCCGGGCAAAAGGTGTCACAAAGTCAAATAAGAATCAAAGGGTTTCACAGTTGCCAGTAATGGGGGGCCTAGGCTCTGGCGCTGTGTCAGGTTACAGCCAGAACAGACCCCGGATTCAACATTCTCCCGCGGTAAAACTCTGACTGCTCCTTGCGCTCTGAAATGGCCTCACTGCCAACACTGGGAATCTGCTTGCTCATCTCTCCAGGGGACTGCCCAAACTGCATTAATTCAACAAGTGTCAAAAGCAATCGCTTTGAGTCAGGAGGGTCAAAAGTGGGGGAGGCATTTTTCAAGTACGGGTTTGATTTGGAGTTCAAAGTAAATTATTATTATTATTATTATTATTATTATTATTATTATTATTATTATTGCCTACTTAAAACTCCTCCTCTACTGGCCATTGAAGATCTTGTTTTATCTATTTGGTCCCCAACACTTACCCGCCACTTTGTATCATGTCTACCTTGAGCTGTTTAAGCCCTTTCTCTTAGTGTTCATTGACTCCATCCTCTGTTGGAAAGCAAATGTACACTCTGCAGGGATTTTGCTAGCCAGTTGTTAAGCATGCTAGTGGCTATGAACTGATCACCGTGGAGAGATTTTCACTATTGGAACCCACAGGTGTTGTACATCAGTTATTTGAGCATTGTTTGTTAGTGGGTTCCCAGTGGATGTTTACCTGCCCTTCCCATCCAAGAAATGACTCCCTTGTCTCTTTCCACCCCGCCCCCCGCCATCTTGATGATCTTTCTTTTTTTATCCCATTTTCCTTCTTTTCCTCCTAAATTCTGAAAGAAAGTATCCATCAAGCCAGAGCAGTAAAATTCCTCATCACTCTTATTAAACTGCATTTTCAGAGATAAGCATCAGATCATCATTGGAGATGAAAATCACCTCATGCTTGTCATCAATGCCAGAAATGAAGGGGAAGGAGCCTATGAGGCTGAACTCTTCGTCACAATACCAGAAGAGGCAGATTATGTTGGAATTGAACGCAACAACAAGGTAATGCCTGCAGATCACTTAACATAATGAGCTGGGTGTCTTGATTTTAATTTGAGTAAATGGGAACTAAGGTCTTTTAGGCTGAGATTTAGTGCTTAACAAGGAAAGAAAATGTTCCCTTCCTTTCACCAACTCATAATAACAATGAGTCAGGAAGGGGGCTGGGCTTGCACAGTGTCAGCGTGTCTCTACCATAGTGAAAAGATAAATTGTCCAAAGATTGCCAGGAGCTGGTGGCTTATGCCTATAATCTTAGCTACTCATGAAGCTGAGATCTGAGGATCATAGTTCAAAGCCAGCCCAGACAAGAAAGTGTATATGATTCTTATTTATAATTAACTACCAAAAAGAAGCTGGAAGTGGCACTGTGGCCCTAGAAGTAGAGTGTTAAGCCTTGAGCAAAAATGCTCAGAGACAGCACCTAGGCTCTAAGTTCAAGCCCCAAGACTGACCCAAAAATCTTGCCCAAAGATTGAGAGCTGAAGCAAGGAAGAGAACACAACTGGCCAATGTGGACAAATCAGCTGACTCCCAAGACCGATTCCTCATTCTTGCTGGATTTCAAGCCTTAAGTTCCTTTAAGATCCAAGCAAGTGAAAAGAAGCCTGGCTCATTACTGATTAGAGAAGGTCCAGCTAATCCCTCCTGATAACAACTTTGTCACAAATGGAAAGAAAACAAGCTTATTTTTCTTTCTTCTTGATCCACCCAATTGGGCTTATGTCCAGGGCAAGCCTGGTTTTCCCTCATATGCCAGTCCTCAGGGTCACCTTCTATTAGAATGATGCTGACACTGTGTCATTCAGAATATGAATCTTCCTCAGGTCCTGCAATGTTCTGAATCCCTAGAAAGTCACTGTAAATATATTATAGATGAATCGAGAGTCTCCCTCAGGTTCAGAAGAATACAAGGCTCATATGTGAGGATAGCAATCAAGTTTCACTTTCTCTAAAAGGAACAGTCAATTCATAGATGCTTCTTAAATACTTGCTGAGCCAGGTGCTGGTGGATCATGCTTGTAATCCTAGCTTCTCAAGAGGCTGATATTTGAGGATCTTGGTTCAAAGCCACCACAGGCAGGAAAGTCAGTCTATGAGACTCTTATTTACAATAAACTACTCAGAAAAAGCTGGAAGTGATGCTGTGGCTCAAGTGGTAGTGTGCTAGCCTTACACACAAAGAGGCTCAGGGACAGCACCCAGGCCTGAGTTCAAGCCCCAGGACTGACAGATAGATAGATAGATAGATGATAGACAGATAGATAAAATGCTGATGGATTTGTTTAGAATTAAAATTTATTAAGTGTCTACTGGTTTCTCAGTCTTTTCCTATTCTAATGACTGAATAATTTAATTTAAAGTGATCCCTCTGTGGTTATGTTATTTTAAAGGCTTTTTTTTAAATTTTTCTATTCACATTTCTGGTCTCATGGATTTTGTTTTAGTTGATTATTTTATCTTCACAGTTAATAAATATCCAGATGAATAACAATTGAATATCTTTGATAGTCATCTAAAATCGATTTCCATTTTAGAAGATGATAGAAACATATCTACAAACTCATCATGTTGTATACATTGGAAATCTAGAACTTTTTTTTTTTTTTTGTCGGTCATGGGGCTTGAACTCTGGGCCTGGGCCCTGTCCCTCAGCTCTTCAGCTCAAGGCGAGCGCTCTACCACTTGAGCTACAGCGCCACTTCCGGTTTTCTGGTGGTTTATTGGAGATAGGAGTCTCACGGTCTCTCCTGCCCAGGCTGGCTTTGAACCGCGATCCTCAGATCTCAACCTCCTGAGTAGCTGGGATTACAGGCGTGAGCACCAGCGCCCGGCGGAAATCTAGAACTTTTTGTTTTTTTGTTTTGTTTTTGGGTCCGGTTGTGGGGCCTGAACTCTAGGCCTGGGCACTGTCCCTCAGCTCTTCAGCTCAAGGCTAGCACTCTACCACTTGAGCCACAGCGCCACTTCCGGCTTTTTTCTTTTTGCTTATGTGGTGCTGAGGAATCGAACCCAGGGCCTCAGGCATGCAAGGCAAGCGCTCTACCACTGAGCTACCATCCCAGCAGAAATCTAGAACTTTTTGTATATCAATCACACCTAAATTATGTTGGTTAAAAAATTACTTCAAATATGGGTTTTTCTTTTTATTAACAATGAGGTCTGACAGAGGAAAATATCATTCCACTTCTTTCCAAGAGTATTTGCAACTCCATAACTTGCATTTAAAAGTAAATTTGAATCATAATTTCTGCAATTAATAGTCTATAACCATCCCATTTCCTTCCTCCTCTGCTTGTATTATCTTTTTTTTTTTGGTCATGGGGCTTGAACTCTAGGTGCTGTCCCTCAGCTCTTCAGCTCAAGGCCAGCACTCTACCACTTCAGCCACAGCACCACTTCCAGTTTTCTGGTGGTTTTTATTGGAGATAAGGGTCTCACAGACTTTCCTGCCCAGGCTGGCTTTGACCCGTGATCCTCAGATCTCAGCCTCCTGAGTAGCTAGGATTACAGGCATGAGCCACCTGCGCCCAGCCATCTTTGTATTATCTTACAACCATTATTTTTCTATTAAAATTACCTCAAGATATAAAAAGATATAAAAAGATATAAAAATAAATAAGTGGAACACTCAGATAACTTATCAAAGTGGTGTCTGATAACCATTTTGAATTGAAAATGTCATCCCATAAAAGAATTTCTACAAGTAAAAGAAAAACACCAAGAAAGAAAAATATCACCTACAAATACTTGCATTCAACTATCTAAACAAACAAAAACAGAAAACTCAAGTATGCTGTTTTTCAAGACTCCAGGATTCCATTCATGTTTTTGTTTTAACTCCCTCTGTGTCACTCCATCCCTCGATTTGTTAAAGGAAGCATGGGTCCTAGAATATTCTTTTAACAACATCCAATCTACTGTTCACTTTGTTCCAATGGGAAATGAGAGAAACCTTGTCATTCTCTCATTGCTATAAACATTACATCAAATGTTATCAGGGAAACCTGAAATATACTGTTTCCCTCAACAACTTCTCTTGGGCAAAGATTTTCGCTTAGTCTTTGAGAATTTCTCATGACTCAGCCACATGCTATTTTCTTCTTTGTTCTTAAGCAGTTTGAGGTTTGCAGAGTTTTTTATTTAAACTCAGTGTAGAGCATTCCTTATATGTAAATTTTTCTCTCAAGGGAAAAATTATCAAGAGTTTACTGATTGTAAATTCTATGGGGTCTCTTGTGGAAAACAATTCATCATTTTGAAACTAGATCCTGATCCTTATTTTTCTCTAAAAACTGGAGGGGAGCCAGCTTTTAAGCCTTTTTGTGTCTCTCTGCTGAATTTTCTCCTAAGTTATTCTAATAGCAAAGCCCTAGGTGCATTACTGTTATTATTATTATTGGAGTAAAGAATATATAAGATCAAGCCTATTGTTTTAACCATGGTAATGTACACTTCAGTGACATCTCACCTTGTGCAGATGTTACAATTACCCATTCTGGAGGATTTTCATCATCCCAAATGGAAACCCTGTGCGTGTTAAAAATAATTTCCTCTTCTTTCCTTTTTCCATTAATCATTATTCAACTTTCTGCCTCTATTAATGTATCAATTCTAGGTAGATACTTCTACTCCATCTCTACTTGAATCTCTCCCATTCCTTTAGCCTGTCCATAACTAGATTTCTTTTTCTCTTTCCACACCTGCGCACCTCTCTTGCTGCATTTAGGGTATCTGAGACTGGCACTTTCATATACCTGATCTCTGAAGCCTAAACTCAGCCCTCAATTTCTCTAATTCTCATGTATTTCTCTAGTCTCTGCCACTGCTACTGCCTTTCTCTGGGCCAGCATTCTGGTACACAGAATCCTGCATCTGTCCCCTCGGTGTCTCCCCAGTCCCTTCTCTGCAGACAGGACATTTCTAAAATATAAATCTGAGCCTGGGCTTTGGTGGCTCATGACTGTAATCCTGGCTACTCAGGAGGCTGTGATCTGAAGATTGTGGTTTGAAGCCAGCCCAGGCAGGAAAGTCCATGAGACTCTTATCTCCAATTAACCAGCAAAAATTAGCCATTTATTCATGCTTGAATAAAAAGTCTGAGCAAGAGTACCAATACTAACCAAGTGACTGACCAACCAACAGATAGACAGACAGATACACACACACACACACACACACACACACACACACACACACACACACACACACAATGTAAATCTGGCTCAAAACCCTCCCTAGTTCCCACTGCTTTTAGGATAAGAGCCAAGTCTTTCAGAGGGCCTATGGTTTTCTTCGTGCTAGTCATTGACCCTTGTACAGCCTCACCTAAAATCCCAGCCAGACTGAATTTATTGAGTTCATCCACTCTTAGATGTTCCCTGTCCCTGACTCACTGGTTCTATTCTCTTGTCTTCATCCAGGCTTACTTCATTCTACTCATCATTCCAAACCTTCAAAATAACTGAGACCTACTCATCACTGAAGCTTAGTAATAACTGGGACTAATAACATTCATTGAATAATTGCTATTGAACAATAATTATTCAATGACTAAGAATTGTTATTCAGTGAACTATTATTCAATATTCATTATTATTGAATTGCTCTAATTATATGAATTGTGATTTATTGGATAACTTCTCTGAGCTCTTGCTCATTTAATTTACTCAATCCCCATAACAATCTTATAGAAAAGTTGCTATTATCTTCTTTTTTGTTGTTGTTGTTGGTCATGAGGCTTGATCTCTAGGTCTGTGCACTGTCCCTCAGCTCTTCAGCTCAAGGTGAGTGCTCTACCACTTGAGCCACAGTGCCACTTCTGGTTTTTTAGTGGTTTATTGGAAATAAGAGTCTCACAGAGTTTCCTGCCTGGGCTGGCTTGGAACCATGATCCTTAGATCTCAGCCTGCTGAGTAGTTAGGATTACAGGCATGAGCCACTGGCGCCCGGCCTTTCTCATTTTATATATAAGGAAAAATTAAGCACCATTCTCATGGTTATTTGGTTAATAAACAGCAGAAGCAAGATTCATGTCTCACTGTCTTAAGTCACTGATAAGCACTGATCACTGCTTATAAGCCCATCATTTAGATGTTACTTCCTATAGGACATCTTCCCCAATTGCTTATTCTCATTTCTTCTACCCTAAAACTTAACAAACTATTGTAACAGTACATTGCCATGACTTGTTACAATTACTTACAATTACTTGTTACGGTTGTTATACTAATTAGAAATTTGAGGATAAAGGCTATTTATTTATTAGGATTGGGTAAATAGCAGGTCCAGGGTAAATCCTTTTAGTCAATAAATAATACAGTAAGAGCTATAAATGGGCTACAACAAAAAATGTGCCTGGATCCACTGAGGAAAAATAATCTAGAAAAACAGTCATTACTTCTCTTGTCACAGAGAGGAAATACATTTTTTAAAGGGAGAGAGCAGAGGGGATGTGGACAGGAGAAACTTTGATTAATGTTGAAAAACTATTTCCAGGAAGTTGGAAAATATACATGCAACCTTTAACCTGTAGTCAGAACAAAAATATTTCCTATGGGAACTAAATCCTCAAATTGTATTCAAGGGACACAAGGACATTGTTGAGAGCTTTTGTGAAGTTTTATTTTCCTTTTTCATGATTAATAATAATCTCAGCAGGAAACATCTCTGTATGGTGAGGGCTACTTATGAGTTCTTAAGAAATCACACACATGTTAAAAGCTTGCCTTTTGAGGCAACAGCCGATCATCAGCTTTAGAAAAAAAACAGGCTCAACTTCTTCAGCATCATTCAACCTGCCATTCAGGGAGCGAGCCTGCTGTAAATATATCAGTAATTTGCTCCTTTCTTATTACCCAGAGTGGGGATTTCAACTAGGTCTGACTTTTCTGTGGTTTGCTCTTTGCTAAGGAGAGTGTGAGTTGCTATATTCACTGACATGTCTGTGGCCTGGGCTGCAGCCACTGGGCATAGAACAGCTACAAACCTCTGCCCTCCTGACGCCTAGCTCCTCAAAGCATGCAGCCTGTCTGCAGGACTCTTTCTGTAGACATCTGGAGTTTATTTAGACTTTTTGTTTCTTTGTTTTGGTTTGAGTTTGGGTGGAGTTTTGTTGTTGTTTTGTTACCACAGTAGAAAGAAGAGGAATGGAGGATTGTTTCTTATACTTTTGCTTGAAAAGAAAAATCACCTTCTTCCCTTAATATAAAACTTTAAAATGAGGGGCTGGGAAGGTGGCTCAGTGGTAGAGCGCTTGCCTTGCATGCATGAGGCCCTGGGTTCAATTCCTCAGCACCACATAAGCAGAAAAAAAGCCAGAAGTGGCGCTGTGGCTCAAGTGGTAGAGCACTAGCCTTGAGCTGAAGAGCTGAGGGACAGCGCCCAGGCCCAGTGTTCGGGCCCTACGACCGGCAAAAAAACAAAAACAAAAACAAAAAAAAGCATGGATTCTAGAGTGTTCTTGAAGCACACATCCAGTTTACTGTAGATAGGAAAGAAAGTCCAAAACAGATCCATGTACATGTAGAAATTTGCTCTATTGCTGGTGTTGCCGATTGCTCAGGAAAGGAGGATCTAGTTAATTAGTGGTACTTGAAAATTGAATATCCATATAAGGAAACAGTAATAAAATTGCCTTCCCTACAGCATAAAAAAATTAAATAAAATTTCAATAGTGCTACCCTGCCCTCATGGACTTCTCTCAGGGATAGAAATGACCCAAAAGATGTTCCTTGGAGAAAGCCAATGTATTGGCTTAGCTTTGGGAATCAAGATGGCAGACATGTAATGAGCTAGACTACAGCATGGAGTGGTATAAGTGGTGACATTGGGTTTTGAAGTGCTATATCTAAAGAGTTAGACACAGCATAAGGCAGAGCTGGGAACTCAGAGAGTACCTGCTCATCAGCATTACCTTAAGACCCAACTTATCCAGCAAAGAGTTCCAAGCATCTCTTCCTACTTGAGGTCCATAAACTCTAATCAGAATACAATATATGTAGAAAGAAGAACACTGAAAGATATGTTCTTAAAGATGTGTTCTTCACATTTTACAATAGTTGGACCAAGGTAAGGAGAAATTTGTCATCAAGGCTATTTTCATACTGATGGCCACTGGATCTGATGACAATCTATGCGTCACTGCCATTTCATTGCTATACTATTAACCTAAGGCCTAAGGCTCTTTATTTATCTGTGATCTTCATTAGTGAAGGTAATATCCAAAATGTCCATAGAATTACCACACACATCTGCCACTCAACACTTTCTTTCCAAAATTGAACTTCTACATTCTCCTCTCAGGTTTCTTTTTACCTTCCTGGGTATTTGAAATCAATAGACACTGGTAGCCTATACACACACACAAACACACGCACACACACACACACACACACACACACACACACTTCCAACCACCTGGTGACAGGAGGTCATGTGTCATTCATCCTGCCTTCTGATCTCTACACTGGCGTTCTTCTGCATGACAGGTGCTGCGACCACTGAGCTGCGAGTACCGGATGGACAATGTGAGCCGGAGGGTGGTGTGTGACCTCGGCAATCCCATGGTGGCTGGAACAAATGTAAGAGAAAGCCAGCAGGATCTGTTGATTTCTGTCTAACTGAATTTTACAAAGAACCAGCGGACAGCTCCCCCAGTTAGCACTCAGCCAGTCAGCACAAGGTCACCCAAACAAGGCAGGAAATGATTGGCGTAGTAAGATTTACCATTATAACCTATGCAGACTGAAAAATCTCAGGTCAAAACCACCCAAAAGTGGTTGCTTTTTGATGATTCTGAAGTGAAAGTTAACAGAACAGAAGGACTTCCTGAAATCTCTTTCCCCGCCTACATCTCCTACATCTACTCCTTACTTGCTATTTTATAAGAAATTATAGTATATTTTCCTTGTGTATCAAACAGACCCGGGCAAGCATTGGTAAAGTTGATTACATCAACGTCTTTAGCTATCTTTTGAAGGCATTGGCTATTGTTGGTCTCTCTAGGTTTTTCTATAGTGAAATTTGAAATACTGGAAACCATGTTAATTTTTAGAATTCATTTTCCTTAGTAGAGACTAGTGATGCATTCACTTCAGGGAACAGACTTGTATAGGTTCTTAATTATCCAAAATGGAAGCATTTGAACACTTTTGGATTTACACCATTCTTTTGTGTTTGCTTTTTAAAAGTGCTGTAATTGTATTCTCCATATTTTGTAGCAGTTACCTACATGACGTGTATAGGTCTGTGGTTTTTCACTCAAACAGAATCTCATTCAGTACATTTAGTTTTACAAGTCATGAAGCCAAATCTTCAATGGGCTCTATCAGAGACACAAAGTCTAGAATGTGTATATTCACCATGATGTACATTTTGTGCCTTTGAATCACTTTGAAAAGTGTCTTGGAAAACCTGGACAGTCCCTCTATCTTCATAAGAACTTACATATATTTTTATGAAAATGATTCTGTACTCTAATAAACTTTTTGGGGCATGGAAAAAAATAAAATACATTTGGGGCTGGGAGGGTGGCTCAGTGGTAGAGCACTTGACTTGCATGCATGAGGCCCTGGGTTTGATTCCTTAGCACCACATAAGCAGAAAAAGCCAGAAGTGGTGCTGCAGCTCAGGTGGTAGAACGCTAGTCTTGAGCTGAAGAGCTGAGGGACAGAGCCCACGCCCAGAGTTCAGGCCCCATGACCGACCAAACAAAAAACTGAAGAAAAAAAAAAACATCAAAACAGTCAACTTTTACATGCTTTCTTAAAATCTAGGAAGACAGTTTCACTACTGATTATTTCTTTGGATATTTTCTTCAAGTTCCTAAAGAAATACAATGAACATTAAAAAAAACAGATTTTAAGCAAATAAAATAAATTCTTATTTCTAATGTAGCTGCTATTTGATGCCACTGGCAGTATTTTTTTTGAGTTTTTTTTATTGTGAAAATGCCATACATAGAGGTTACAATTACATGGGCAAGGTAATGAGTACATTTCTTATCAAGCATTGTAGCCTCCTTTGTTTCCCCTTCCCATCCCTTCCCATCTCCCCCTCCCTCTCCACCCTCCCCACCCACCGCCAAAGTTGTAAGGTTCGTTTTTTTGACATAACGATTTGTATATCTCATTGTTGCAATGAGTCCACCTGTATCCCTATTTAAACGATTTGTTTTTTCCCTTCCCCTCCACAAATTATACCAACATCAAATACATTGGAAGCAGGGGTTATACCATGGGGGAAGGACATACAAAGCAACAAAGAAATCATCTTATAAAATGTTAGAAACATTGCATGAAAGAAAAAACATTTGAATACTTATCTTGGGGTTCATTTCACCTAACATCAACTTATCTGACTTATTCTGCTTGTCTCAGACATATACTAGTTATTGCAAATAAGGGAAACCATGGGACCTATGTTTCTTTGGGCCTGGCTTACTTCACTTAATATTTTTTCCAAGTCTTTCCATTTCCTAACAAATAGGGTAATGTCATTCTTTCTGATGTGGCAGTATTTTTATATTTTAAAAAAACTGCTGTGCTTTAGTTTCCAAACCAGCTTTAGTAGGTCAGTAATTAAAACCTACAAAACAAAGTTGAAGCAATTGAAGAAAAGATTAATAATAATCTCCAACATTTTTATAAAAGAATAGGAGCTATGGGCTGGGAAGGTGGCTCAATGGTAGAGTGCTTGCCTTGCATGCATGAGGCCCTGGGTTCCATTCCTCAGCAGCACATAAGCAGAAAAAGCCAGAAGTGGCACTGTGGTTCAAGTGGTAGAGCTCTAGCCTTGAGCTGAAGAGTTGAGGGACAGCCCCATGACCACCAAAAATAAAAAAAAGAATAGGAGCTATGTTTTTACTTACCCTTTACCTCTCCTCCTCTTCCTTCTTATTCTTTCTTTCACTTCTCCTTGTTTCCAAGTTTAGGAAATCTCTAGTCATGATTACCTGTAGGCAATAAAGTCATTCTATGCAATTACAGTTTAAGTATACACATAATAACTTCCTTTAATAAATATACCAGGGGTGATGATTTAGTGACATTGTATTTGAGAAAAAAATTCTAAAATCTTAAAAATGCTACATAAATCTTACACAAATTGAACTTACATGGGCCTCTAATTAACATGAGGTGTTTGTTTTATTATTGAAATGTCCTAGTTTTAAAAAATCATTGAGAAGTAATCATCTAGATTTCACTAGAACACGACCCGTGGATTACACCCGTGGATTGCCATCTTTTAAAAGGCAGCTGTGGGGTCACTAATGAACACCCTCTCATCATTGCCTGGGGGATTCAGGTACACACTTGCATTGTAAAGGTGCTGGTGAGTCTTCTGATAAATTAGTCCATTAACCCAGTGTTTTATACACATTCACCTGAGCATTTCAGACTTCTTCTCAAGTAATATCTAGTCCAAATTTATTCTTCAGTATATTGTGCCAAATAATATTTTACTCATTTACAGTATAATATTATGCTGATTTGTGAGTATTAAAAATATGCCATCTTGAAGTCTCATAATCTTACTTTGGGGTGTTAAAAATACTTAAAGGAAAAGTAAATTCCTTCAACAGCTTACCATTAGTTATCATACATTAGTTATTCTGTGTGATTAACCAGTTACTATTTCATTGAATTTTCAAGATAACCCCATGTGTCAAGCATCTTCCGTATTTTCTGGATGAGAAGGCTGAGATCTAGAGAGGCTAAATGAATGAATTGCTTGAAGTCCCACAGATGATGAAAGAGAGAGCCAGGTTTCATGTCAGACCTGACCACCATCTCGGGCTTCTCTGTCCTGCAACACTGCAGAAAGAACTTTGAATAAAAACTAATGGGAAACAGATGGGGTGATAGAATAAAGCCAAAAAGCTAGAACAGGAGGTCCGAACGGAGATATTAGAACATCATTCATTATAATCCTACTTTTTTAGAAGCTAATAATTCATTTGGCTAGTTTCCAAGAAAGAGAAGAAAATAAGATCCAACCACTGAATTTGAGATGAAGCAATTGCCCCCAAAAGCAAATGGAAATCAATTCCCCTGGTAGCAGTAATGATCACAGTGCAATCCCTCATTCCCCTTTCAGTATTAAAGCTAGGCCAGAGATTGTCTAAGATCAGGAAGGATTAATGGAACAGACTGGCCACCAGTGTCATTGAAAAAGCAAGATAAAAATGGCAGCGTGGTCTCAAACACAAAAGTGTTTATATGAAACGACTCCCATCCATTTTACCAGCATATAATCCTTAGCAGACAAGGAAGTCAATTGTTTATATGCATTTATCTCTGAGGTCTGTAGTGGAAGAAACCTAATAGCTTTCTTATCTTGACCTTTAATACTCTTAAACACATCAAAGTTTATTGCATTCTGTTTTGTTATAAAAACACTCTGATTTATTTACTTCTTCATTTTATACCTGGAAAAGACTCTCCATGGAATAAAGTTCCAGACCTAAGTATTAAAGAAAAGCATCAGAAATCATCAGGAACATGTATCCCATTCCCCATCTTTTAAAAGAAAATAGTTTATTTTCTTAAAGTTTAACTTAAAAGTACCTTTTTATTTTAACTTAAAATTTCAAGTCAGAAACCAAAACTCGTACTTCTTATTTCTTAAATGGTAAAAGTTATTTCCACGGAGGATCTATAGAAATATAAAATCATTGTAGGAAAAGAAGTTTCCAAATTTTTGCAAACAGGAAAAGGAAAACATGTTAGGCCAGAGACACTTTTGAATGGAGGTCTAAGGACCTAGTGTTCAATGCTAAGTAATCTCTACAACTCCTACACAATGAAATTGTGATGCCTTCATCCTACATAGGGATGTGTGTTGATGAAGACCAATGTTCAGCTTCATCACACTACCACACAATCCTGATTGTTTTCATTCTTTCAGGAATTTTTATTGCACTCCTTCTTGGTGTCCTCCCAGAATACTAGAGTCCAGCAATATAAATACAAATATACAGGATTCCCATTCAGTAAGAAATCCAAAGCTATGATGAGTTTTGTGATGACAGAGTAGTGAAGATGGAGCCAGAAGGGATAAAGAAGAGAAGTTCTGGCTTTGCCTGTGGCAGCCGGATTTATTGTAGGAGATAAATCTTTGCCCTGAGTCCAGAAGCCTTGAATTGCCTTCAGCATACGTGGACATCTGACAGAGTTGGCACATTTGGAATTATAATTGGCTCATGCTCCATAACCAAGGGTCATGGGTTCAAATACCAGTTCTTCCCCTTTGTTAGCTGATAACTTTGAGTAAGTCTCCTGAAATGGAAAAGTACATAGTTGGAGGAAAGTTGGAGTGGTGTGATCAACTGACTTAAGTCAAGAGACTCTCTGAGTGCCAGACTCATCCAGCAAGGGTTTGGGGTTTGATGAAGATGATTTATGACAAAAATGAACACTTATTATTAGGTCATATTGTTACCCATATGAACATGAGGTTTGTTTCCAGGGGTGTGTGTGTGTGTGTGTGTGTGTGTGTGTGTGTCCTGGGGCTTGAACTTAGGGCCTGGCACTGTCCCTGAGCTCTTTTGTTCAAAGCTAGTGCTCTACCATTTGGAACCACAGCTCCACTTCTGGTTTTTAGTGGTCAATTGGAGGTAAGAGTCTCATGGCCTTTCCTGCCTGTGCTGGCTTTAAACTGCAATCCTCAGATCTCACCCTCCTAAGACGCTAGGATTACAGGCATGAGCCACCAGCACCCAACTAAACACAACTTTTGATTACTGGCTTAATTCTTATACTATACTATCTGTAAGTACATATTCAAAATCTGCCTCACACACATTTAAATTCCAGCTCTGTAGTTCATTTGCTCTGCACCTGGAATATGGCACCTAATCTCTCTAATCCTCAGGATGGTATTGGACAGTAAAATGTCAACGGCAAGCAATACTTGCCCCAGAGTGGTTGTGGTGAATTAAGTAACCACAGACAGTGCTTAGGAGATTGATTCATACAATCCAGTCTATGTGTTAGATACTTCCTCATTCCTACTTTTGTATTTATTTTTCTCCATTGTTAATCTATTTTGAAATTATAAAAATATAAGGACAGCAATTTTGATATTCAGGAAATAAGCCAGGAGCCAGTGGTTCATATCTGTTAATCCTAACTACTCAGGAGGCTGAGATCTGAGGATCACTGTTTGAAGCCATTCTAGGAAGGAAAAGCCATGAGACTTATATCCAATTAACCACCAACAACCCAGAAGTGGAGCTGTGACTCAAGTGGTAGAGTGCCAGCCTTGAGCACAAAAGCTCAGGGGCAGCACCCAGGGCCTGAGTTCAAGCCCCAACACTGAAGCAAAAGAAATTTGGAGAGAAAAAAACCCAAACAACAAAATCCTCATCTCACTATCAAGATCATTCTGGAGTATTTCTTTACAGTACATTTCCACTACTACATAGTAATTTTTCATGTATAGCTAAAGCATACAACAGACTTTGTAACCTTTATTCTGTTGATCATTATTGCATTAAAAGCATTATCCACATCGTTGCATTAACTTCACAGATGTAATTTCAATAACCAGATAAGCATCCATCAAACAAATGCATCATAATTTCCTTTATCAGGCTCCGCTTGTATATTTGGGTCATTTTAAATTTGTAGATAGATGGGTGGCCAGCGAAGAAGGGACACAGGGCTAGATAAAGAGAACCAAAATACACAATGACTTGAAGCTTCTACCCAGCAATCTCCTTAAACCACTTCCTCTTTGCTGTCAGCCACCTAAGGGTAGAAGTCAATTTAAGGGGGTTGCAATGACTCTGGGTGGGGTGTGGAGGAATTGCTTCAGAAAGATTTTCACGCTATGTGTAAGGTTCCTATCAAGTAATAACTCTGCGTCCTGTGTGTATTTCTTTTTTGTGGTTATTGCTTGTAGTATTCTCTGGGCCTCCGATTTGCCATCCCACGTCTTGAGAAAACAAACATGAGTATCAGCTTCGATCTCCAAATCCGAAGGTAAGAGCTTTAAAATGCCTACAAAATTGACACCAAATTCTGAGTGAAATATATAATGCTGGCCAAGCTCCTTCATCTGAAAAGTTCTTCTGAAATTGGAGCCTATACTTTTTTTTTCTTTACTAGTTAATATTTCGTTGTTCTTCATGATTTCTATCTTTTTCCATATGTGTGGGTTTAAATAAGATGCTATATTAGGAAAGCCACGTTCTGAGGTAGTCAGATTTGGACCACTTCACCATTTCTTTTCCTCCTCAGGTAACCCCAGCACCACAGCCTGGCTCTACATTGAGAGTCAGCTGATCACTAAGGATAGGCTCTGAAAAGAACAAAGAGTTTGCAATGTGCAACCTTGAGGTTTCCTAGCGTTCTGAGTCTCTGCTGTACTTGATGGGGTGCAGCTGATCTCACATGGCATTTGGAGGCAGGGCTTCTCTAGTGATAAGACACTGAGTCACGTAGGTGGCTCGCCTTCCTTCCCTAAGAAACACCATGTTTAAGGATTTAGCTTTCATTGGCCATTGTTTGTTTTTGTGGCCAAAGATATTTCATGAATAGGAAGACCCACGGGATAGAGACACATGGAACCAATGCTTCGTGGCTATGCACAACAACTCATTATCTGGTAATGGAATCCATTGAATGGATTTTAAATTCATATTTAAAAAGAAACAAAATTGAAAGGAATATGATATGATACTACAACTTATGGAACATTCTATCAGATAAATGTGAATAAGGTTAATAAGATGCCCCAAGAAATGAGTTCTTTTTGCAATCTGCAGTTTACAAAACTTCAAAAGCAATGATCCAGACAGGACATGACAAACTTGCAGAGTTATTTACACACTGTACAGCCCACTGAGCCCTTGCTCTGACTAGAAATAAGAATAAGGTCAGTATCTGCAACTTGGTTCACAAATACTCATTCAATGTGGCTGCTCTTAAATTTACCTTTCTAATTTATAAGAATGATCATTAAACTATGATTAACACTTAGAATACATAATTAATCTGCATACCAGATAACTTTTTAACTGCTGAATCAATGAAAGGTTTAAGATTATAATATATATATGATCCATAATAATGGAGATATTTTAAAAATCAGAATCCTATATAACATTATACACACACACACATACACACACACACACACACAGCTTCATGACCACTTCCAGGAGAGTCTCAAACTTAACTCAGGTGTCTATTTCTGACCTTACCTAGAGCTTTCTTGAATTTAACTTAAAAAAATCTCCTGTTGAATCTTAGAGCTTTTCTTATTTTATTCAAATTAAGTCATGCAATGCGGACGGAGTGAATTCCTCTACAGTATCGTTTTATTTTATGAAAAAGATTACAAAATCACTTCTTTCATAGCTACAAAACTACACATTTCCCCAAAGTTTTATGTAGTCACAATGATTTTCATACTGGATATCTTTTATGTATAATACTAAGTTCATGGGGTGGAAAATCCCTAAGTGAAGGTCAAGCATTATTTGGTTTATCTACCTCATTGCCTGTGTCCTTGACCCCTCTGGCCATAAAGCTTTGTGTTAACTTGGAGAAAGATACAACACTCATAAAATGAATGGCCCTTATTTGGAAAGAAAGTCCAGTATAAAGATGACAAGTATATTATTTATGAATACAAGAATGGACAGAAGACACTAGAAAATACTTTATATATCATATCCAAAATTCATCCTGTAGATCTTGACTTAAAGACTTAATTCAGTGATGAAGTACTCAATTTGTAGAAATTTGACATTATGAAGTGTTGTGATGATGGAAAGTAGAAATAGCCACATAATTTGGTACCTCTATTCATATTTATACACATCTCCTGTCATGTGAAATTGGGCCATGACTTTATTCCACATCTGCTCATGACTATTGTAACATTACCCTGGAAAAAACTGTAAAACCTCCGAAAGAGGGTAAGACATAGGAGCTCAGTCCTATCATCTCAGCTACTCAAGAAATGAGGATCGTACATTGAAGCAACCTGGGCAAAAATGGAGTGATAACCCCACCTTCCATTGCAAGAAGCAAGCCAGTATAATAGCATGCATTTGTGATCCCAGCTAAAGAGCAGGCTACAGATCATAGGACAGATTTAAGCCAGCCTAGGAAAAAATGTTGAGACTTCATACAAAAATAATTGAAGCAAAAAAGGGCTGGAGGTATGGTTCAAGTGGTAGAACTCCAGCTGGTAAACATGAGGCCCTTAGTTCAAACCCAACTACAACAAAAACTGAAAAAAAAACCAGAAAGAACTGGCATATACATAAAACACCAAACTTATAAACCATTAGAGGGAGAAAAATGTTTGAGAATACTGCAAACTCAGGTGTTTGGGAGAAGAGCATTTTATCTGCGTATTCTGCTTAGAAGGTTCCAGAAATGTAAATAAGAATTTAGATGAGACCTTGCATTCAATTTAAATGTTCATGCCAGAAATAAATTAAATCAAATGGTCTGAAGCCTAAACCCTGACATATATCAATTACCATTGCTTGTACCTAACCCTTTCCTCAACCAAGAGCAGCCAAAGGAGAAAAACCTGAAACTATTTCCTGTTATCTAATATTTAGATCCAAGGGTTTTTCTGTGTACAGCCTGATTCTACATGACATGAATCTTTTCCTGTCATTGTAGAGCAGTTCCCATGTACAAATGGGACTTTGTGATCACCCTTGAAATTACTTTCTCAGGAATGGCGAAACGAAGGCTGTATTATTGTCTTCTGCTGACATTCCAAAGGACACAGAAAAGAGAAAGTTAGAAAATAGGACACGATCTGAAAAAGGAAATGGCACCAGAGTAATGAAGTGAGAAGCTTGTTTGTCCTGTGTGCAACCCAGGGCGGGGGTGTTTGGAGGAAGTTTCTCATGGTTGAACAGAAGAAGCAGAGATAGTATTAATATCCCAGGAACCTGGTTGTGATGGATTGATTGTTTGAATGGGGGCAGTGGGATTCGTGAGTGAGTTTTCCTTCCAGGAAAGAGGTCAAGGAAGTATCTCAGTTATATATCAAGCGTGTCTCCTTTCTTATCTTGTCAACACAAGCAGTCACAAGTGTTATGGTGTGTCAGCGTAACAGGGATGAGACTATTAGCCAGCCAGAAGGTGTGGGTGCTGAGTCTTTCTTTGCTCTCCCTGAATTGCAAAACAGCCTCGCCTGGTGCCAATGGCTCAAGCCTGAAATCCTAGTTACTCAGGAGGCTGAGATCTGAGAACCACAGTTCGAAGCCAGCCCACACAGGAAAGTCTAGGAGACTTTTATCTCCAAAAACAAAAACAATTTAAAGCCAGAAGTAGAGCGGTGGCTCTAGTTTTGAACAAAAGAAGCTCAGAGACAATGCCCAGACCCTGAGTTCAAGCCCCAGAACCAGCACATAGCTGAAAGTGGAGCTGTGGCTCAAGTAGTAGAATGCTAGTCTTGAGTGAAAAAGCTCAGGGATAGCGCCCAGACCCTGAGTTCAAGCCTCAGTACTGGGGCACACACACGCGAGCATGTGCACGCAACACACACATACACACACACTCAAGTTTCATATGCAGCTATATGTGCTTAAAAGGGACAGACCATAAACTTGAAAAGAATTGTTCTACTGTTCAAACATACACCTTCCTTCTCAGGATTCCTGATGCATGCATGGTCTCTGAATTGTCTTCTTATGCAAAGTCCAACTTCTTTGGGCTTTGTTTCTTCTGGGTAGGAGCCATTCTCTCATTTCACTCCTCCTGTCTTGTCCTAGCCAGCCAGTGAGCATGCAGTAAATGTACACTTAAAGAAATATTAACTTAAGAAATAAAACCATAAGGAAGACAGAATTGCTGCCAAAAACAATGTATGGTATGATGCATTCCAGAGCCAGAGGCAAATGCTTTTCCGATTAGGTACTGCTCCAGATTCTTCATACCCATTCTCTTCATGATTAGCATGGAAAATCAGGAGTCAACTATGCTGTCGTTTCTTATTTAATGGGCATCAACAGGATGCCCAGAGATGTAAAGGAATGTGTCTAAGGTAGAAGCTGGAAAACGGATTCCATTTGATGCCTTTTTGATTTAGCCATTGAAACTAAAAGAAAAAAAATGCAAGTTGTTCAGGATCCTTAGTGTGCTTCTAGATAAACTATCTTTTCATGGAAAGTTGTTGCATTGCCATTGGTTATAAAGATCTATGCATTGGTTATGATTTTGTACAGTGAATATGCCATCCTGTTCTCAATGGGAAGATTTAAGAGTGGGTTGTTATTGAACCATATTGGATGTTTTTGGCAATCATAGTGGGGTAGCAAATTTGATCAAATATTGATTAAATCATGTGTTATTGTGTTGTAGTTCCAACAAGGACAATCCTGAAAGCAACTTTGTGAGTGTGCAGATCAACATCACTGCTATAGCTCAAGTCGAAATAAGAGGGTAGGTAACAAATAAGGATTATATGTTATATGATGGTAGCTTTCTGTAAGGCTACATGAGATACTAAGAAAAAGTATTAGGTATTTTCTTAATGCACTAGAGACCACAATTCACTTTGGTTCTCAATTTTCATTCGTGTGTGTGTGTGTGTGTGTGTGTGTGTGTGTGTCTCCTGGGTACTGTCCTGGGCTTCTTTTGCTCAAGGCTATCACTCTACCAATTGAGCCACAATTTTGGTATAGTTTATTGGAGATAAGCGTCTCAGAGACTTTCCTGCCAGGGCTCTCTTCAAACTGCAATCATCACATCTCAGCCTCATGAGTAGGTAGGATTATAGGCGTAAGCCTGCTTTCAATTTTCATTCTTTTTATTCCACCATTAACTTTCTAGCAGCACCTCTTGTAAACCCTGCATAGTAACTCTAAAGACATCAGCATTTAAAGACCAATAAAATGGACAACCGTGCAATTGTCTGAAGAAAAAAATATCCCACTTTTACAATAGTTACTTTAGCATCATGGTAATTCTTTCTCTTCACTACCTCCAGTTGAGTCTGGTAAATGGCCAGCCTAGGTTCAAGGGAAGATGGGCTAGAGAGTCTGTATCTTTTTCTTTCAATTGTGCCCTTTAAAGAAAGTACCAAGAAACAAAGTTGAGAGGCAGGGAGAGAAGGCCGTCAAGACAAAGACTTGGAATGATTACCCACTGGAAAATCCCTGCAGGGGAAAGGGAATCAGAAGTGGAGTGTGTGAACTCTTATCTTGCACAAATATGGACTTCATTGATTTTGTTATTGTAATTCTGCTTCCTACAGAACAATCAAAAAAAAAAGAAAGAAAGAAAAACTTGGCTAAAGACTGACCACTGGTAATGAGGGCCAAATAGTCTCTGGAGTTCCAGAATCCTGTTTTTTGTTCCTTTGCTTCAACTCCTAAGGGGCCACACATTCCTCATTGGTGGTGGGGTTTGTAGAGACAGAAGCCGCCACGACCACGACCCTCTTAATGCTATCCAATATGGGCTGACTGAGGCTCCCACCAGGGGATGCTCTCTATGTGCTCTACCACAATCACACATCTGAGTCCACACTGGGCTCCTTGATATACAAGGGAGGGAAACTGGCCCACAAGGAGTTGAAGATCAGACAGGTGGAAAATGCTGGCCCAGAATAAGACTAGATGCAACGTGGGTTTCAGAGTGCACGTTCAAAACTGACCATGCTGTCCTGCCTGTGAGGCTGAGGTTTTCCCAAACCTTATGTAATCCTGCTCTATAGCGGCTTTTGTGCCCACATGAGCAATTTTTATTTATTTATTTTTTACTTTGTAGTACTGAGGATTGAATTCAGGATCTCACATGTGCTAGATGGGCATGCTTCCTATTGATTCTTTTGGATTTTGAAATAGGGGCCAGCTGACTTTACCCCAGACTGGCTTCACATAAATCCTATTTTGCCTCTGCCAAAGGGGTAGCTGGGATTATAGGTTTGTGCCACCACACCTAGCTAAGATCTACAGTTGTTAGTGCTCGCACTTATATAGTTCATTCTTTTCATTGCACAAGTGTGTTACATTAGACAACTCTGCCACCATTTATCCATTCTACTCTTGATGAAAATTGGAAGCCTCTCTTGTCTCCTTTTAGCAACCTTCTTTATACACACATATCTGATCCCTAGGTGGAAGAATGTCAGCAGGGTTCAGGTGAAGAAGAATTTCAGACAGATGCTGTGGCTCACACCTGTAATCCTCGCTACTTAGGAGGTTGAGACCATCGGGAATGCAGTTGAAAGCCAGTCTAGGTAGAAGAGTGTGAAGACTCCATTTCCAAAATAAATAAATAAAACCAGGATGGATGTGTGATTCTACTTCCGAATTCACTGAAATTACAGGTGTGAGCTACCACACCCAGCCATACAGAATGATTTTTTAACAATTTGATTCCATTCAGAATAGCTAATTTACTATTAATTTCTATTTGAACAGTCTTGATACTTTGTCACTCAATACATTTGTCTATTTCATCTAAGTTGTTATGTGTAGGAAGTTCCTATGCTTTCATTTTCCTTTTAATGTCTGTGAGACTTGTGGTGATGTTCCTTCTCGCATTCCTAATGTTGTAACGTCTATCTATTCCTTTTGTCTTCTTCTTTCTCTCTGATGAATCTGCCTAAAGTTCTGTGATTTATTTTTCTGAGAACCAGTTTTAGATTTTGTTCATTTTTCTTTCTTCTTTTATTTCTTGTCACTCCCGACACATTTCATTTCTTTGGCTCAATTTTTCTTGCTAGTTCCTTCTTTCTGCTTGCTCTGAGTTTTAAGTTCTCTGATTTTTCTAATTCTGTGTAAAAAGTCTACCATTGACCTCTCTTCTTTTTTCTACATAGTATTTAGTGTTTTAAGTTTTCCTCTAAGGGTGACTTCAGCAGCATTCCAAAATGTTGATGTGTTTGATTTTCTCTATAGCTTAGTTTAAAATATTTTTTCTTTTTTGTGACTTTTTTTCTTTAAAAATAATTAATTGACTCATGCCAAGTGACCTGTTCAGCTTATAGATGTTTGGTGCTAATTTATACATACTGTTTTCATTGATTTCTAATTTTATTCTCTCTCTGAGAAAAATATTTTATCAGAGACAAAAATCCAAGCATACTAACTTATTCTTCTATCTTTTCAAAACTCTCATCTAGGACATATGAACTTCCACCTCATTCTTTAAGCTAGCTTATTTTTAGCAACTAAAAATAACTTGAAATTGTTGTGTAATTCCAAAGTAATTTTAAATTGGGAAGTATTTTTATTCAGTGAGATATAATTCAATCCAAGAATGTTAACAGCTTAATGTAGGTGCCTTTAGTTTCATATATTCATTTTATAAGATAACTATGTTTCAACCATATTTGTCAACACACTAAAAAGAAAAGGAAAGAAGTTTCTATTTATTTTTGCCAGAAATTCAAACAGTTAATGAAAATTGAGTTTCTCATGTGGATGCAATTGTTTTAATTACTACATGGATGTCCAAAAATTGACCACAGTTTATACTGCAAGATATTATTAAAGTCACTTTTGGTTTTTGCATAGCAAACTTCTGTGCTTTGATTAACTGAAAAATTTGGCTCTAATATTTAATTCTTCAAGGAACAAATAGCAGCTACATCTAGGGATCTCTAAGGATATTCAGTCTTTAGAAAAAATCAATTCTGTCCTGTTCAAAGGTGTTTATCCTAATGTATTTCTCATTCACTATCTTAAGCAGTTTTATTTTTTTAATTCACTGTTGGTTTATAGTTTAAAGATAAACTAAAACTGAGTGGAAAAAGAATTCCAAGAATACCAACAACTCTTTCATTGACTTCATCCCTGGATAACATCTATACTGCCCTTGGATTGGTTTACATGCCATTTATGGGTCCAGAGGAGCCATTGAAACATAGCTCTCTGAACTGTGGATTTGACCATGACAGGCAGCCACACAGAGCTTGAGCTCATACAGAGTAAACCAATCACACCCATCGTGAAATGATCAGTAGTGAATGATCTATTGTACCACAATAGATCACAGCCATGACTCACCCAGGGCTGCACAGGATACTATGTGTCCGCCTTGGGCAGAGCCAGCACCATTCCAGATGATAAATACTAGGAGCATTTGCTATTGGGTACTAATAAACTTTGAAAACAAGGTAATGGAAACAGTTGACACTATACTACCAAATTCTCAATTTTGAACTTTCTAATGACACAGACATTTCAATGTAGCAAAATTCCTAATTCCAAGAAGATCTGGAAGAAGTTTTGTGTTAACCTGAAATTTTGTGAAAACTTCACACACACACACACATACACACACACACTCACATGCACGCACGCGCGCACCACAAAATCTCTTTATAAATGCCTATAGACATTTTTGTCTAATGGACCCAAACTGCACTCAACTCAACTCGCCTTTGGTGGGTGAACAGTAAACAAATTGTGCTACATTTGCACCATAGACTCTCTCTCATGCATAAAAAGTGCTGAATTGCTGGCAAGTAGAGAACAACTTTAATGGATTTCCAGAGAATCATACCAAAAAAAGCCTTACTGTAGGATTCCATTTGCATAACATTATTGAAATAATAGGATTGTGGAAATAGAAAACAGACAAGTAGTTGCCAAACTAAGTGTGAGGACAGAGAAAAGTGGGTGTGGCTATAAAAGGCTGTCTTTATGGTCATAGAAATGTTGTGCATTGTGACTGTCAAAGCCAAACAGAAGTCTGCTTTTTGAATGCTAAACCACCACACACCTTGTGTTTGTAAGTTGTCGCCATTGGGAGACACTGTTAGCATGTATATGAGATCTCTCTATATTCTTTTTTCCAACTTACTTTATTTTTATTTTATAGATGATATACAGTGGGGTTCCTTTACATACTTCAGGAAATAAGTACATTTCCTTTCACACAGTGTCATCTGTTCCCTCATTCCCTCCCGTTCCATCTCTCCCATCCCCACCCACAAGTTGCATAGTGCATTTTCATCAATATCCATGCGCTCCACTGCTGTACTTTTTTACTTTTTCCTGAATCTGTTCCCTCCCCCCCACCCTCCCACAGATGTGGACATGAGTATATCATATATAAGGTAAAGAATACAGGGTCATCAAAAAAAGAAAAAAAATAGAAAAAACGTCCCTTATTTTCATATCTTTGGAGTTCGTTCAGTATATATGTTATCTTATATACATGAGGAGGTGCTTGGGTCTTGCACCTTTGTGATTCTCTCCTAAGACTTAAGTCTCACTGCATGTGAGTATCTAAAATTCTGTGTAATTTGTCATATCCCACTGCCTTTTATAGCGAATTTCCACATATCAGGGAGAGTACACACCATTCATCTCTCTCATCTTGGCTTGCCTCACTTAACATGATTTGTTCTAGTTTCATCCATTTCCCTGCAAATGACATTATTTTGTTCTGTGTGAAACTCCATTGTATAAAAATACCACATTTTTTGTATCCACTCACCTATTGTGGGCCATCTGGGTTGTTCCCATGTCTTGGGTATTGTGAATAGTATAGCAGTGTACATGGATGTGCAGGTGTCCTAATCATATCCTGGCTTATGGTACTAGGGATAGATGCCACAGAGTCGTATGGCTGGGTCATAGAGAAGGTCTATGTTTGTTTTTTTGAGGACTCTCCTGACTGCTTTTCAGAGTGGTTGTACTAGTTTGCATTCCTACCAGCGGAGCAATAGCGTTCCTTTTTCCCCACATCCCCATCAGCCTTTGTTGTTAGAATTCAAAATGGTGGCCAATCTAACTGGGGTAAGATGGGATCTCACATTCTTTATTACAACTATATGAGAATCTACAGTTATTCAAAGTCAGCTGTAAGTTACAAAAACCAATCCCTTATTTCCTTCAAAATGTCTTTCTACTGTATCCAAATTTTCATTAATTGAGGTTCTCAATGCATAATTCTCACCCACGCTACTGCTGGGCTCTTCAAATAATGAGCAATATGAAGCTAATTTGTTGGGGGCTGTTCTGTGCCATGTTCCCCCCTGATTTAAATTGGTCTTCAATTTGTAAATAAGTGAGTTTTGGGATCCATTCTATTTGATTGATTGTTGCTGTACCCTGGTATAGAGATACATTTCTTCATAGATACTTTTTCTTTGATATTGTAATGGAAATGGGTCAGGAAATTTAAGTTGCATTTTCTCAATTATCACTGCAGTTCAGGAGCTCCCAAGATGCTCTGTGTATTGGAAATGAAGCCGAATGTTGGCAGTCCCTGCAAATGGCCCACTGTGTCTCAGCATATCAGTTTTCCTTCTTATTTTTTCAAGCATGTTGTCTTCACAATACCTGACAAGTTCTAATGATTTATGATTCTATGAGCGTAGAAAATGTATGACTAGTCCTCTAGGATTGGAAACCATAGAAAGAAAAACTTCTGGAGAAGTTGTGGTCATCTTCTATTCTTCATTTCTTCTCTATGCGAAGAAAAACAACCCTAGAATTTCACGATGGAAGGGAATGTTGACCATGGAAGGGAATGTTGACCATAGACTCCACTCTCTCCGGCCAAGCTGGAGACAAAGTAAAAATTCAGGCAGAAAAGTCACCATGATTCTGTGAGAATAGAAGCCTCAGCTCTCAGAACTTCTGTCTGATAAAAGCCACCTGCCACATCCTGAGCTCTTGTCCTTACAACGTATGCCAGGTTTGAGCTGACTATGAGGAGAAGAAAGATTTGACATCATGACAATCCAAATAAAGGTGGAGAACTTTCAGCTTTAGGCAAAGCTGTATACTGCACACTCTTTTTATCAGCAGTACATTTTTATTATTTTAGTTTTAATTTTTTGCATACCCTTTTATTATCTTTATGTAGTATCTTTGTAATTTTATTGTTTAGGTTTTTAAAAATTCATTGTAAAGGTGATGTACAGGAGAGTTACAGTTACATATGTCACATAATGAGTACATTTCCTTTTGAACAGTGATACCCCCTCCCTCATTCTCTCTCTACACACTTTACAGGTGTACATTAGAGATGTTTACACTTTATTTTTGTGTATGTGTGTGTGCGTGTGTGTGTCTGTGTCTGTGTGTTATGGCACTGGGGGTTGAACTCAGGGCCTTGCATACATGCTTGGCTTTTTTTTAGCTCAAAGCTGGCACTCTACCACGTGAGCTACGCCTCCACTTCCTACGGATAGCTACAATTTAGCAACATCTTTGTGGGCTATCCATTTTTTAAAAAACACTTCTCAGAAGCTGAGTGCCAGTGACTCACGCCTGTAATCCTAGCTACTCAGGAGGCTAAGATCTAAGGATCGCAGTTCAAAGTCAGTCCAGGCAGGAAAGTCTGTGAAACTCTTATTTCCAGTAAACTTCCAGAAAACCGGAAATGGCACTGTAGCTCAAGTGGTAGAGCTCTTGCCTTGAGCTGAAGAGCTGAGGGACAGCGCCCAGGCCCAGAGTTCAAGCCCCACGACCAACAAAAAAAAACAAAACAACAAAAGAAAAAAAAACACTTCTCAGCCCTCTTCTGGGAAACAATACAGGCAAAAAAAGGAGGGGCTGGGAAGGTGGCTCAGTGGTATGGTGCTTGCCTTGCATGCCTGAGGCCCTGGGTTCGATTCCTCAGCACCACATAGCAGAAAAAAAAAGCCGGAAGTGGCGCTGTGGCTCAAGTGGTAGAGTGCTAGCCTTGAGCTGAAGAGCTGAGGGACAGCACCCAGGCCCAGAGCTCAGGCCCCACAACCAGACCAAAAAAAAAAACAAAACTTTGACCAAAAGCGTTTGACATATACCAGTCATCTGTGGTATTCAATCCCAAGAGTATATCAAAACTTTGCAGATGAGAGATATAGCCAATTTAAATTATTGACCTAAGGTCAAATTAACGCAATAAATTAATTATGTTCTGTGCTTTAAAAAGAGGTTACCTAGAGGAAAAGAAGGAAGATAGAACTTGACATTACTAGAGTTCAATCAGCTGGCTAGCATCGATTTCTAAAAGCCATTTGAGATATGTCATTGTCTCATGGCGTTACTTTAAGATGGAAGTCTGGCAATTTTTTGTGTGATTATTTTTTACATAAAAAGTTTTAGAAAGCATTGTTTGGTTTGTAATCTGCTTTTAACATGGAATAATGGCAAGTACTGTATTTCCTTTGTCCAGTGCTAGTTCTCCAAGAGCATATTGTAGAAAAATATAGCCACATGTCAAGTGAATATTCCACATACCTGGTAACAACATGTATTCCTCCCTCCCTGTCTCCTTTGAGTTATTGATAAGACAACTCTGGGACTCTTTTGGCTCAGGGCCTGGCCTTGTAAGAAGTCTGACTGCATTGCTAGGAAGCCAAAGAAATCTAGAAAGGAGGATTTCAGAACAGAAATCTTAATCCCAAAACAGTGTTTCTTTCCAACTGGACATTTAACACATCACACAGGAGCCTGGGTAGATTTTTACACACACACACACACACACACACACACATCTGCACACATACACTGAATCCTACGTTTAATATGGCATCCATACACTTACACAGGATAGACTGAGGGAGGGGAAGGGGAAGGAAGGATTCAGAGGGAAGGAAAAGGGAGGGGAAGGGAGGGGGAGGAGAGAAGAGGAGGAATGGTGGGAGGGAAGTTGAGAGGGAAGAGAGGGAAGTTGGGAGGGAGGAAGAGAAGGAAGGAAGGAAGGAAGGAAGGAGGAAGGAAGGAAGGAAGGAAGGAAGGAAGGAAGGAAGGAAGGAAGGAAGGAAGGAA